ATTGCTGAAACAATGCCTGTAATTTAAATACAAAAACATGATGACAGTTTATCCTCTAAAGACATCCATGCTCTAAATTTTGCTTCTTTAAAATTACCTTCTTTGAAAAGTCTTGCTGAAAGACAGAAAGGAAAATATATTTTCTTTAATAAATCATATAACATAACATATTGTGACTTCTAATTAAGGAAATTATTGCTATATTTTTGGAACTAATTATATTTCACTGTCGTTAAATTTTACCATATGTTAAGTAAAATTCCATTGGTTACATTTTACCAGGTCTGGGGACAAATCTGGCTGATTAGGTTTGCCCTGGGAAGGCTGATGCCTTGTATGTACTAAGTGAAAAATTTCTCAGGCATTCAAAATAATTGAAGGAAAATAGTAGAGTAACATTGTAAACCCTTCTACTATGAACATGAACCATCCAAAAAATAAATAAGCTTCTCTTTTTATAGTTGACCCAAATTAACAGAAAGAATATTTAAATTGAAGGAAAGAAAAATTGTTTATATGTATTTCCAATTTTTTCTCTCACATGTTAGGGTTTTTTTGTTGTTGTTGAGCTGAATCTTTTTGTGGTTTCTTCTGTCCTTTGCTGGATGGGAAGGCAAACTGTGATATATTTAATTCCATTAATCTTTTTTTTACTGTTCAAATTGGTTTTTAGTATATATACAAAGTTTTACAGTCATTACAATAATCAATTTTAGAACGTTTTCATTGGCTTCAAGAAGCCCCTATACTCTTCAGCTATGACCCTTTTACCTCCTAATCCCCACAGACCTAGGCAACCACTAATTTACTGCCTGTTCTGGACATTTTGTATCACTGAATCATATAATATATGGTCTTTCAAGACTAGATTCTTTCACTTAGCATAATGTTTTCAGATTCCAGTCATACTGTAACTTCATTCCTTTTATATGAATGCCATTAATCTTTAATCTGGAAATAAAGACAGATCCAGCACAGTGTCTTGGACCTTGAGAAGTGATGTCAGAAGCATTTGAGAGAGACAAGAACCTGCCAAGTTCCTGCACAATGATAATTTTCATTTAATGTACAGTGACAGAGTCCCAGAGATATGAGTGACTAGATTAAAGGGGGGAAGGTTTTCATTTTCACGTGAAAGTTTCTTTCCCTTTCCTAATTTAGCTAACTTATTTTTATGTAACTGGCTTAGGAAGCCTGTGCAAATCAGAGTTTGGAACTGAGATGGTTTTTATTGCAAGATGAAAATTTATCTTCTTTATTGTTGTTCAGTTGCTCAGTGGTGTCCCACTCTTTGCCCCACCTTATGGACTGCAGCACACCAGGCTTCCCTGTCCCTCACCATCTCCCGGAGCTTGCTCAGACTCATGTCCATTGAGTTGGTGATGCCATCCCACCATCTCGTCCTCTGATTTCTTTATAGACCCTGGTATTCAGAAGATAGTCCTCAATAGAGCATTAACCAATACGCTTTATTTCCACAAAAATTCAAATAGAATAAGATGGTATTGGGAAGGCTAGTTTTGAAAGGAAAAGCAATACACACTCACTGCGAAGGTCAGATGCTGGAACATGATACTGAGAGGAATTTTGAGTCTTCTTTATTCATTAGTCTTTAAAAATGTTCAATTTATGATTACTCAGGGTTCAGTGTCAAAATAGACACATGGAGCCTTTAGTAATAGCCATCTGTCTGGAGTTTTTTTTTTTTTTTTTAATTTGGTTTCTTTGGAAAGAAGAAGGATGGATTAGATTATTCCTGGATGTCTCTCTTAGGTATTTCAGTGAGGAGAATGCTGGGGTTAAAAGTCTTGTGAGCACTAATCCAGCAGCTTCAGTCAAGTGTTGGAGACGGGTGGAGAGAACAGGGAGAGGACCAGCGCTGGGAACTGGAGAAAGCGGGCGGCCTGTGAGGACCGCACGGTGGGGACTTCAGTGTCACGTGGGTCAAGATGTTTAGAGTAAAATAAATGAGCAGCAGCTCTGTTAATGAACAAAGAAGTTATCTCAAATATAAGTGTGTAGGCCACTACAGTCTGTCATTATAGTGTTGTTAGGAGACTGTAAGCAGTAATATATAGATTTAGGCTATTGAAAGTGACAATCTTGTAAGAATTTATGAAAAAATTAAATTGTACATGTCTCTTAAGCTGAAATACGATGTGAGAGGATAGTAGGTAACCAGAAAGTGCATACACCTAATGGACTGGAAATGAGTTACTGAGTCCTTCAACATAGCTGGAGCCAGGGGGCCTGGGGAAAAGCTGAAAAAATAAGGAACAAGCAATGCCCTTGGTAAAATGGGCTTATTATAGTAAGTCACAGAGAAATCTTTGTTATGTTACACATCTTTGAAGAATGAGTTTCAAATGTCAAACACATCTGATATATATTGTGCTTAATTTGTTGTTGAGTTGCTCAGTTGGGTCCAACTCTTTGTGACCCCATGGACTGCAGCATGCCAGGCTTCCCTGTCCTTCACTATCTCCTGGGGTTTACTCAAACTCATGTCCATTGACTCCATGATGCTATCCAACCATCTCATCCTCTGTTGCCCTCTTCTCCTCCTGCCCACAGTCTTTCCCAGCATCAGGGTAGTTCCAGTGAGTTGGCTCTCTGCCTCAGGTGGTCAGAGTATTGGAGTGTCATACTTAATACTGAGTAACAAATGTATGACTAAGAAGGATCATTAACGGTTTCTGTAAGTAGTGGTGGCCTCTCAAATACAATATGCCATGGCCATCATGCTGATGTTTCCTGATGTAGAATTGGCTGGGTTGTGTTTATTTCAGCAACAGTTGTAGATTTTAGATTTCACTTCTGAGAAATTTTTTTTTCTTTTTTTTAGTTATCTAGTGGCATTGCTACCTGCTTTGCTTAATTTAGCTGTTTGTCATATAAACAGTTTTGTTACTATAGCTATGGCGGAGTCTGGAAAGGAGAATTTATACTCGGATGTTTAGAGTTACTTCTTTTACTCCGCTTGAAGAAATGTGGCCTGGTGTCCTCTTTGAGGAAGTGTTGCGGCGTCACTGTCTGTGCCAGCAGTGTGGTTGGACACTTCCAGCTTTACCCAGTGGGTATCAGGATTCTGAACTGATGGGTAAGCAGGTGGGCAGGACAGTTTTCAAGGCCTCTCAATGCACATCTCAGAATGAGGTTGTTATTTAGTGAGAGATTCCCATTGCTTCACACCTAAATATAAAAGACACAAGGAAGAGGTATTTATAGTCTTAAATTCTTTGAGTAGTTTCAGTATTGAAAACTAAATTCCTGCCTTTTGAGGGTCTGCCATTTATTACAGAGATTTTTAAATGATTATTGAGGATCCTTGGACCCTTAAGAAAACAGGGATTGTTTGAGAAACACGGCAGATGTGAAATACAGGGAGAAGGCTAGCTGTGTTTTTCCCCAGAAGACACGTGTTAGGACCCTGACATGTCAGTCTTGTAGAGCGTGCACAGGTGTTTTCACACAGCAGCGTTTGGGTTGCTCACCCTCTGGGGGCAGCTTTCTTGTCCCCAATCAGTGCCCGTGACCTGGCCTGTGTCAGTCTGTCTGATCTCAGCACCCACCACTCTTTCCATTGCTCCTTCTGTTCTTCCTCATGGCCTCTTGCTGTCCTTGATTTGCTGCCAGCTCAGGGCCTTTCTCCGTGTCCTTCCTTCCCTGGCTGTTCCTCTGGCTCGGAAACAGTCTTTCTGAGCTCTCCCCTGGCCTGTGCCCTGTCTTCACTTAGAACACTTTTCCAGTCACCTCGTCAGCACGGCTCTGCCTGACCGCTGCATGCTGAGGAGCCCTCCTCCCCTTCCTCCACATCCTCCTCCTGAGAGCGAAGGTCTAGTCTGTGCTTGTTTGCTCTTCAGTGTTGTGGGGCCAGGCTTCCTCTGTTTCGTTCACAGAAAACTCCCCAGGGCATTAGCAGTAGCTGGCACCGTGGTAAAACTCCCAAGGGCATTAGCAGTAGCTGGCACCGTGGTACGCGCCTGCTCCGTTGCTTCAGTCATGTCCAGCTCTTTGCGACCCTGTTCTTTGCTTTATAAAATAAAATTTTAGAAATCTGGAGTTTGTTTTTCCCCACCCTGAGTCAGTGAAGGTATAGTCTTCATATTAATATTTTTGTTACTTTGTGTTGGAGATATGGAGTGCTAATCACTCCTTCCTTCCCTCCTCCTCTCCTTGATTCCAGTTGAATATAAACTCAAAATGAGCATTGGGTGAAGATTGGTATATATTTTATTAAACTGAGCAAGTGGCTATAGCTTTACAGTGCAGCAGTTTTAAGACTCTAGATTCAAAGCAACTTGGATTCAAGAGTGTCCAGTGGAGTCCTTGGTCCTGGGGCGGTTACAGCCCTCCCTTGATGGAGAGCTGAGCCAATCTGAACAGGAGGGCTTCTGGCATGAGACGGAGCCGACGGTCTACTCGGCAGGACTTCAGCAGGCCACAAAAAGACAAAACTGAACTTTTTTATTTATCCACTAGTTAAAATGTGAATTGTAGCCCAGTGGATGTCCGATTCCACTGGTTAGATTAGCAAATTCTCCACATGTGGAAATGATTCAGTAAGCAGGTGGAGACAGAAGTCGAGATGACTGTTCCAGCTCTCCCCCTGCCACTCGAGGCACCAACCCGCACTGCCCTCTTGTGTGGGCAGAAAGGGGTGTGTTGCAATTATGGTTATCCCCGAACAGCTGCATTTGCAACACACATATTAAAACGTACCTACAAACAAATAGTTTTGACCAGAAAAGAGCTATCAACACAGGATGTTTCTGAGAATTGATTGCATTTGTGAGTCATCTAGACATCTGCCAAATGAAAGCTCAGGCTCTATTTGTATGTATGTTTAAGGGGATGGATGTTAATCCAGCATCTCTTCAACACCTGTTAATAGAGAGGTGATACTATGAAAAAATGCCGTGTTATTTTTAGTTTGGCTGATCTGTTTAGTACGGCTGATACTAACTTCAAGTGTAAATTCAGGCGCTCTTACGTTTCAGGTTCGGGGGAGTAAGGGAGAAGTCCTGTACATTTTGGATGCTACCAACCCGAGACACTCCAACTGGCTTCGCTTTGTTCACGAGGCACCATCTCAGGAGCAGAAGAACCTGGCTGCCATCCAAGTGAGCTGATTTGCTTCTTATTTGTACTCTGTACATTGAGGGGAATGAACTAATTTATAACTGTTCTCCCTGTTTTAAATTTATTTCCAAATGACCTGCTTCAAATAACAGTAACTAACTCATAAAAGCAGAGAAGTCTCATCTAGTCAGCATATGCAGGAAAGGGCAAGCCCAGCTGTAAATTGACACCAGATCACTGACTTTATGAGAATTCTTGAGGGGATGAGTTACATGGTCTGATATTATCCTTGGCAGATTCTGCTTTCAAGTACTTTTAATTCATTCAGTGAATGTTTTTATTGATAGTTTTTCTGTTTGATGGCTTATTTGGCTCGTGGCACAATGTTCTATGATATTGTTTGGGAAAGGCTTCATGAAGAAAGTTTGTTTGGGTGTGTCTCCCTGTGGCTGTCCTCTGAGCTTCTTGAGGGTGTTGCATTCCTCAGGGTTTTGAGAGAAACAGAGCCAATAGGATCTATATATCTGTGTCTGTGATGTAAAGAACCCAGCTGCCCGTGCAGGAGACATAAGAGACGTGCGTTTGATTTCTGGGTCAGAAAGACCCCCTGGAGGAGGGCATGGCAGCCCACTCCAGTATTCTTGCCTGGGGAATGCCATGGACAGAGGAGCCTGTGGGCTACGGCCCATAGGGTCACAAAGAGTCAGACACGACTGAGTGACTTAGCATGTATCTATCTACTTATCCATCCATCTACAAAGAGAGAAAGAGATAGAGACTGAGAAAGAGATTTATTTTAAGGAATTGGCTTATGTAGTTATGGAGGCTGGCAGGTTCAGTCTCTTCAGAGCCAGTGTCCCACCTCAAGTCCAGAGGCCACAGGCTGCTATAGAACAGTGAAGAGCAGATGTTCTGTTTCAAGGTTGATGACATGAAAGCTGCTGTAGAATCAGCAAGAGCCAGTGTCCCGCTTGAAAGGCTGTCAGCCCTAAAGAGTGGATTTTCCAGTTTAAAAGCCATTAGGCAGAAGAATTCTCTTGGAACTTCCCCTGAGCTCCAGGGGTTAAGGCTCTACGTTCCAGTGCAGGGGGCACAGGTTTGACTCCTGGTCAGGGAACTAAAGTTCCACATGCCATGGGTTGGAGCCAAAAAAAAAAAAAAAAGGATTCTCTTTTACTTGGTGGGGGAAGGGAGACCCTTTTGTTCTTTTCAGGACTTCAGCTGATTGGATGAGGCCCACCTACATTGTAGAGGGTACTCTACTCAAATTCACATATTAAAATGTTAATCTCACACAAAAACATCCTCACAGAAACAAAATAATGTCTGAATAGCTATCTGGGTGCCCTGTGGCCTAGTCAAGCTGACTTAGATAATTAACTCTCCCAGGTGGGAACAATGTTTTGTTGAATTCTGTATCCTGTATTTTAGGATAGTGTTATACATAGCATCAGGCTCTGATAGTAACTGTGACTTAAACTCCATTGATCCCTCACTAGAAATTAAGGGAAGGAGACAAATAGTCAAGACAAGGAGTTTTTAGAAGGACTTGGGAAACGGTAACAGGTTTTGTTTTCTTGGGCTCCAAAATCACTACAGGTGGTGACTGCAGCCATGAAATTAAGATATGCTTACTCTGTGGAAGAAAAGCCATAACCAACCTGGACAGCATATTCAAAAGCAGAGACATTGCCGACAAAGGTCTGTCTAGTCAAGGCTATGGTTTTTCCAGTGGTAATGTATGGATGTGAGAGTTGGACTGTAAAGAAAGCTGAACACTGAAGAATTGATGCTTTTGAACTGTGGTGTTGGAGAAGACTCTTGTTTGATCTAACCAGTCCATCCTAAAGGAAATCAGTCCTGGGTGTTCATTGGAAGGACTCATTATGAAGCTGAAACTCCAATACTTTGACCCCCTGAGGTAAAGAGTTGACTCACTGGAAAAGACCCTCATGCTGGGAAAGATTGAGGGCTAGAGAAGAAAGGGACGACAGCGGAGAAGGGGATGACAGAGGATGAGATGGCTGGATGGCATCACTGGCTCGACAGACGTGAATTTGAGCAAGCTCCGGGAGTTGGTGATGGACAAGGAGGCCTGGACTCACACATGACTGAATGACTGAACTGTAATTAAAGTTCATTGGACAGATCGTTAAGAGAATTAAAGAAGCTTTACATTCTGTTTGGCAGTTGACAGAGCACATGTGAAAACTTGGCTCCTGAACCCTAAACTGCAGAAGTGAAAGCAGAGTGAAGGTTGGCAGGAGCAGGAGGAAAGGGAACAGAGTAAGGGAGCCCATAGTTCCTTGAGTGTTTTCCATGTGCACTATTCTAGAAGCTTCATGTACATCATGCCGTTTACTCATAACAAACTCTTGATAGCTTAACGTGAGGGTTGTGCTGATTTCATTCAATCCAAGTCTGAAACCAACAGTGGCAAGAGGAAAAATGCAAGGAAAAATGTACAGAATTGGGTTTTCAAATCAGAGAAGGCATTTTCCAGTACTCTTGCCTGGAAAATCCCATGGATGGAGGAGCCTGGTGGGCTACAGTCCATGGGGTCCCTACAAGTCAGACATGGCTAAGCGACTTCACTTTCACTTTTCACTTTCATGCACTGGAGGAGGAAATGGCAACCCACTCCAGTGTTCTTGCCTGGAGAATCCCAGGGACGGGGGCACCTGGTGGGCTGCCATCTAAGGGGTCGCACAGAGTCGGACACGACTGAAGCGACTTAGCGGCAGCAGCAGCAGCAGGTTTTCAAGTAACTGGAAAACAGTCATTTAGGATATTTCATTTCCTTATGTTATTAGCTAGCCTAGTTTTTTCAGTACAAATAGGTAGTGGATAACCAGTGTGTTTACTGTTGTTTTTGTATGGGCAAGTTATGATGACTTACCAAAGGGTTTGGAACATAGGATCTTTTGGCAGCCAGCTGTATTCAAGCCACTTTTTAGATTGTTCATGATATGTGTTGATCCAACCACACATTTAAATTATGTCTTTTGGAAAATGTGTAGACATTAATTACTTTAAAGTATTTTATATTTTTTCATGGTTTTCTGAGCCATACTTATCTCACAGGATCTTCAGTTATATCCTAATTGTAATTTATGGGCTTAGAATCAGTTCAGTTCAGTCACGTCTGACTCTTTGCAACCCCATGGACCACAGCATGCCAGGCCTCCCTGTCCATCAGCAACTCCTGAAGTTTGCTCAAACTCATGTCCATTGAGTCGGTGATGCCATCCAACCATCTCATCCTCTGTCATCCCCTTCTCCTCCCGCCTTCAGTCTTTCCCTGCAACAGGGTCTTTTCAAATGAGTCAGTTCTTCACATCAGGGGGCCAAAGGATCGGCCTTTCAGCTTCAACATCAGTCCTTCCAATGAATATTTAGGACTGATTTCCTTGAGGATGGACTGGTTGGATCTCCTTGCAGTCCAAGGGACTCTCAAGAGTCTTCTCCAATACAACAGTTCAAAAGCATCAATTCTTTGGCACTCAGCTTTCTTCACCATCCAACTCTCACATCCATACATGACTACTGGAAAAACCACAGCCTTGACTTTTGTTGGCAAAGGAATGTCTCTGCTTTTGAATATGCTGTCTAAGTTGGTCATAACTTTTCTTCCAAGGAATAAGCATCGGTTAATTTCATGGCTGCAGTCACCATCTGCAGTGAGTTTGGAGCCTCCAAAAAATAAAGTCTGCCACTCTTTCCACTGTTTCCCCATCTATTTGCCATGAAATGATGGGACTGGATGCCATGATTTTAGTTTTCTGAATGTTGCGCTTTAAGCCAACTTTTTCACTCTGCTCTTTCACTTTCATCAAGAGACTCTTTAGTTCTTTGCTTTCTGCCATAAGGGTGGTGTCATCTCCTTATCTGAGGTTATTGATATTTCTCCCAGCAATCTTGGTTCCAGCTTGTGCGTCATCCAGCCCAGCATTTCTCATGATGTACTCTGCATGTAAGTTAAATAAGCACAGTGACCATATACAGCCTTGACGTACTCCTTTTACTATTTGGAAAAGGGCTCAGTTTGTTTCTTTGTAAATGTTACCAATAAAAAAATTGCCTATAGACCCATGAAATCTAATTTAGGCAAACCCATTGTTTTGTAGGGGCTTCATTATTATATTTTCCCCATTCTGTTGGTTTCCTCTATTTCTTTGCATTGATCACTGAGGAAGGCTTTTTTTTTTTCTCTCTCCTTGCTATTCTTTGGAACTCTGCATTCAGACGGGAATGTCTTTCCTTTTATCCTTTGCTTTTCACTTCTTTTTTTTTCACAGCTGTTTGTAAGGCCTCCTCAGAGAGCCGTTTTGTTTTTTTGCATTTTTTTTCCATGGAGATGGTCTTAAGCCATGTCTCCTGTACAGTGTCACGAACCTCCATCCATAGTTCATCAGGCTGTCTATCAGATCTAGTCCCTTAAACCTATTTCTCACTTCCACTGTACAATCATAAGGGATTTGATTTAGGTCATACCTGAATAGTCTAGTGGTTTTCCCTACTTTCTTCAATTTCAGTCTGAATTTGGCAATAAGGAGTTCATGATCTGAGCCACGGTCAGCTCCTGGTCTTGTTTTTGCTGACTGTATAGAGCTTCTCCATCTTTGGCTGCAAAGAATATAATCAATCTGATTTCGGTGTTGACCATCTGGTGATGTCCATGTGTAGAGTCTTCTCTTGTGTTGTTGGAAGAGGGTGTTTGCTATGACCAGTGCGTTCTCTTGGCAAAACTCTATTAGCCTTTGCCCTGCTTCATTCTGTACTCCAAGGCCAAATTTGCCTGTTACTCCAGGTGTTTCTTGACTTCCTACTTTTGCATTCCAGTCCCCTATAATGAAAAGGACATCTTTTTTGGGTGTTAGTTCTAAAAGGTCTTGTAGGTCTTCATAGAACCGTTCAACTTCAGCTTCTTCAGCATTACTGGTTGGGGCATAGGCTTGGATTACCGTGATATTGAATGGTTTGCCTTGGAAACGAACAGAGATCATTCTGTCATTTTTGAGATTGCATCCAAGTACTGCAT